CAAGCAAATATATTGCTGGAAGGAAGCATTTTCTTCATCTCTTTCTATACCAGTCAACACAACACAGTCTTTTCCATGTTCTACAGCATTCAATTCTTTTTCTTCCTTTCTCTTAAATGGAGCTATATCCGTGTCTTACACCCTCTTCTGGCTTACAACAGCCCCACTCCATTTCCTTATCACTTCACCCCCATTGCTTGTTAGATCACAAGTCACCTTTCCCCTTTTCACACATAAAGACCTTTGGCGCTACCTGAAGATAAGRGCACAACTCCTGTCGTTTTCAAGGTCTCTACCTGGGCCAGCTGCATTTTGCAGATGCTTCCTACTGAAAATACCTTAAAAAAGCAGGAGAGAGTTTAAGAAAGCCGGTAGGGAGTCCCAATTAGCCAAAGGAACAGAGAGACATATGTCTGTTAGCAGAGTACAGCTTTTAAGCAAATTTCTCTGTGCTAGGAAAAAAGTTAATATTTTAAGCAACTTCGGGATATTCCAAAAGTAAAAGCAGAAAAACTATTTCTTTTAAAAACAGCCTTGAAACCCTTAGGTTCTGTTGTGTAAAATTTGGCACATCCTCATACATAAATCTTACCCTGATAGATGATAATGGCTCCTTTGTTTCTGCAAGTCCCACCCGATGGAAGGATTACACAGTCGATCAACCCTAAGGGCTCCCAATAAAACAAGCCAGGCTATTGTAGCTAGTTAACTCCATGCACTCATCCTAAACTCTTGTGCCCAAATCTGTGCAATGGTATGCAAGCGAGTATTTCAAATCAAACTGTTTTGATTCCTCGCCACAGACTCCCAATTAGCCACAAAATGAATTAAATTAAATATAATTAAACTTAAAACCCATCACCTAAAAACATATGTACTTCCTGGATAAAAATATATCTGTAGAACATTTTTTTTCCTCTCTCTGAAAGACATTCTGTACTGGAATCCCAAAATAGCCATACAGAAAAAGAAAAAAAAAAAAAAAAGAAAAAAAACCACAACACACCAAAATCCCTATATTTAATATAAAGAAAACCAAGATTGTAAAACCCATAGCCAGCATAGAGACCTTCATATGTTATCTGGATGGACCAAATGCAGAATGTTATAGATGAACTTGGGTGATGGCTAGTGCAGGAATAAACTTGAATATCAACTTAATAAAATTGTACCAAGTTTATAACCAGTTTATGAGGAAATCGCTATGAGAGGGAGTGTGAAGAACCATCTTAGCTGCAGTGTTGTCAAGGGGTCTACTCCAATAATTAACCAAAGAGATGAAGATGTGCAAATGTGACAACCCACCTAGCACTGAGTATTTAAATGGTGTTGAGACCTCTGGATATTACTTTTACAATGAGTCTGATTAGTATTAAGGAAGAGGAAGCAAAGAAAAAAAAGTCAAGTACAGTAGCACACACCTGGATACTCTCTCGAGAGCACTGCATGAGACTCACTGCAATTCAGATAATCTTACGTAAGACTGATTCATTATCACAGGAAAACCATTTTAGCTTAAGTACCTTTCATACCTCACTTGTTTTTTGCCTCCTCTCTCAATTGCCACCCCAAAAAAGAGAAACTCTTAAGAGAACACACAATATCAGTAACACAAAGCAACAGCAGTAATAATGAAGCACCTGATCCAAACGCATCAGTGGAAATAACTATAATCTTTATTGYACTGCATAAAATCTTTACCTGATTTACATTAACAAAATAAAAGCAAAAATAACCATAATGTCCATTAGCAAATAGACCTGCAGGTCTGGTCTTTCTCATATGTATTCAAGTGCATTTCCCAGAGCTGACAAGATTCACGTTCACAAGTATCATACACTATTTAGAAGCCTTTTTTGAAAAATAGGAGGTAGGCTAGTTCAAATTGTGACCAAGGGGACAGAAAAAGAAAATACAAACACAGCTGTAAAGCCTGTTGCACTGTGAGCAGATTATGATGCAAGGTATTCACCACCTCTTTAAGAATACCAAGTCAGCAAACAAAAATATCCTTGGACAACCTAAACACACATGGAACTTCTATAGCAGTGGCTCTATATTCTGCTCAGTCAAGGTTTACGATTTACTCCACGGTACTGAAGAGAAACCTTCTGCCTGCACCAGTGCAAAAGCACACGTGGGGAAATGGAGCACRGCGAGCCATGGTAGGGCACGATGATACTTTAAAAGCAACTTTACACTGGAATTAACAGAAATGATCTTGAGCTAAATAACTATGAACGTTTAGCTTYCCTGCAAGCTAAAAGCTTGATCCCATTAATGCTAATACATAACCTGAGGCAGCAATCTGCCTTTATATCAAGTTAGTGGGGTTTGCCGTGACTACGGCAAAAGCAAGTTCACAGCTCAGAAAACGGGTCTGTAAATCAGAAACACTCTTCCATCTCTCATTATTTCAGGAGGTTTCTCAACTAAAATCACATCTAGAATCCACCAGTGTTGTTCCTGGTTTCCAAAGTCAAGGCCAAAAATGCTAGTGACTTTGCAAGGAACCAATTGTATTGTATTCAGCCTTGTATTCAGAATATTCATTTTTCTGCTTGCATGCCTTTTGGCTCTCTTCTCCTTCATTTCAGGTCTAACAGGTATAGTAATAGTCATTATGATAACCAAACCATTGTGAAACCAACTGTTATATATCACAAATTCAATCTATAATGACTCATTGGATATCATATTTTTGTGATTAAGCAGAGTAAGAATCTTGTTCTGAAACCTCTCCTGAAACTGTAAAATGAAATACATACATATATGGAAAAATGTCTCATTTCAAGGAATAGGTATCATCTTCCAGTCAGCTAAGTCCAGAGCTTAAATGCTTTAGGCAAATGTGTGTGACAAATCTGACTATTTATCAAGCCCCCTCACAGCTTTACAAATACTTTCAGAAGACTTTTCTCACAAAGGTCACACACTTCATCATGGAAACATAATAAACTGACATAATAATACTCCGTTTTTCAGTCAGTTTAGATCATGTCAGATCACAATATTCCACTACACTATCACCTCTAATGGCAGGCCGAGTCCCTGGAAATCATTTCGGCAGGATCATAGTGCTCTAATCCAGAGCCGAGTTGGTACCAGCTTCTAGGTCTGAAGAGATGTGAAGGTGTCGTCCTAACCGCGTGGGTCACAGCTCCAGGGACGCCCTTGTCATTTCCACCCTGCTCCTGGCTGCTCAGGAAACCACCCTGTGCATCTCTATCTCCTACTGCTCTAAGCGGGAGGCAGCTTCCAACACAGAAGTTTTGTTCCTTTGCACATAAAGCTCCTTGGGGGAGGATACCAGGCAGCAATTGATACTAAATTTCACATTTAATGTAAACAAAGTCTAGAAACCCGGCTTAACCATTTAAAGCTACTTCACAACTGTGGTGCTAAAGGTGGAGCCATTCAGAGCTTCCTTGGTATCTGGAAAATAGACTGATATCTCCGTCACCAAGACCTCACAGACCAAAGCCTACAATAAATTCACCACTAATGTTACCCTCAAATTAGGCCTTGTGTTACAGTTTACACTATCAACAAACTATTCTACATCCCAGAATATCCATTTGAAAACAAAGAGCTAACAACTGCTTAAACGGGCASGTCAAACTGACAGCACAATGGGCAAGTCAAACGCACCACAGAGCCTTCTCGCAAAATACTGCAGCAGTAGAAGCATAGCATTGAAAATGATATATTAAACAGATTTTTTTTTTAATGTTATKTTCAAACATTATCATTTCAACTACAGCAAAACACCTGAAACCCAATTCAGAAAGATGCATCTTTATAACACTTTCGCAAGAACTGAAAGCTTCCTTTATGGAAAAATCTTCTATCATTAGTTGCATATACTTGAGAAAACACATTTATTTCGTATTGTTTGCTGCTACCATGCTTCAGTACATACACACACACATTTATATATATTTAATTGTTCACACAGGCACGCAAAAGAATCAGGCTAAATTCTATGTCCTTAAACAAGTACGGTAAAAGTTCAGATAAAAAAAACTCAGAATTTGACCTTGCACATGGTCCAAGTTAGAGAAACAACTGCAAGGAAACTTTAGTCTAACCCACGACCRGCTTTTTCTTAAGAGGAACCTGAGAGTTCACCTCTTTTCCCCACAATTCATTAGCCTTGTAGATAACGAAAGCAAAGCACAAAAGGTATCATCATCCTGTGAACAATTTCTGCATTCGAGCAATCACAGCTCAAAATATTTGGGTAAGGCAGATGAACGTTATGGGAAATTAACCTAATGAACTCTTGGCCTCAGAGCTGACAATGAACAYAGCATCAGACAAGAAAAAAAGATTGGTAAGGTGAGATTATCCTATAAGCACTGAAATGAAAACTGCTCATTTGCATTTTTTTAAATGGGAAGGAAACAGGTAAGCCAGGACAGCAGCCTGTGGGGTTTTTGCTCACCAATTGAAAAAGTATGGAAAAATTGAGGAAACGTATGAGAACAAGGCGGGCCGCGGTTGCTGCGGGGGTGGTGCGCGAGGACGTGCCCCCGGCTCTGCCGCCGCACGGGCCGGTGCCGGGGCTGGGCTCGGTACCGGGGCCGGGGCCGGGCCCGGCGCGGCGCCCCGCGGCGCGGCAGCGCGGCC